CGGAAAAAAAGACAAAAAAAAAAAAAAAAAAAAAAATTGATGGAAATGTTAAGTTAGGCCCCTAGCTCCCTGTGTCGCCCAACTAGTCTGTAGTCTTTCCACATTAGATTGCTTTTTGTCACTTTGTTGTAATGTCATCCCCTCACCAAAGGCTCCAGTGGCCTAAGTTGCATTATTTGGGGCTTGGAAACGTTGCAGGAAATTAAACTGCCAGAGCCCTGAAGAGGGCTGGTTTTGGTGCTCTAGAAAGTCTTATTATCATTTATTGCCCAATTTGGGCCTCTGCACTGCTGTGCAAATATAAGAGATGTTTTACTTTGACTAAAAGTGAGAGATATAACGTTCACTGACGTAAATTATTGGCAGACTAGTGGATGCTCTGAATTGTTTAACATTCTATACAGCAGAGAGTTATGTGTTAATAAGTTCAATAAAATACTTTTGAAACCATTGTAAATTTCTGCATGAATAAATGAGCAACGTGAAAAAACTGACATTTAAAATTTTTTTAGGTGCCCACTCAATTCTGTTATTTAAATGCATAAATAAGGATAGTTCAGAGACCATTGTTATTGGCATTTGGCCTTACATTTTTTTCTATTGCTTAATATACTGTAATTATGACACCTTATAGTCACATTATGTATGACAATTAGCAGAATTTTGTTCAGTTATCCATAAACTACTAAGTGCTTAAAATATACTTTGGTGATCATAGTCTTTTTATATCTAGATCAAGAGATACTGTACCTTAGTGTTGCATACTTTTTTTTTTTTTAACATGTCACCTTTTCCTCCCCTGAAATTGGAAAGGTATTGAAATAGTCTTTATTTAAAATAGGATTGTAATAGACAAAAGAAAGTTTCTATTGTTAGGATCAGCAAAGTATTAGCAAAGATTATTGCGGGAATAAGGCTGCAGTCTTATTTTCGTTTATATATCCACACACTCTGGAGTAAAATGAGTCTTTCCATTTTTAAGTTGAATAGTTCTGGTTTTAGAAAACTTTTCTCCAGAAACAGGTGATTAGCATTCTATAATAAGGTGTAGAAATTATGAAGGCTGCCTCATTCTTTTTGAATCTCTGTATCTCAGAATTCTAAGTAGTTTTAGGTAGTCAGAAGGGAAATTATAAGCCCTGGGTGGCAAACTCTTTGTTCTTTGACCCAAATCTTATATGCTAGAATTAAAGTAAGCCTTCAGGATAAATTAAAGCAGAAAAATGGGTCATGATGACAGTGTTATCTCAACCTCTAGTGGGACATTATTATTGGGAGTGGTCTTTTTATATTACAGATTACATTGTAGTTATACTACCTTTTCTCTAAACATACTTCAAAAAAATCTATTTTTAGATTCACCCATAAGTTTCAGTCTTCCATAAAATTACCCTCTTGCTATCATTTCAGCCATCCTGTTTTCTCTCTTATCTCCCCCTGCTCAGTGGGGTATACATCATTTACATCACTTTATACACATATTTGGAAGTAGGAGCAATGAGAATAGGCAGTTTATTACACTTGCATTAAGACCTCCTGGGCTTATTTTCATGATATGAAGGCCATGCATGGCCTCTGCTTTTCTGTTTCTGCTGTCCAACCCCCAAACCTCTTTCACGAGTTTTGCTATGCTAGCTACTGGATAGAGAAAGTCTACAGAGACATGTTTGGTTTACAGTAATGCATAAGCACATCATTTATCTTACACAAGCATCGAAATTCTTACATGCACATGTGCCAGAAGAGAGTTGGAGCCACAGTCCATCTTTTTGTCTTTTTTTGTCTTTTTTCCGTGTCGGGCAACAGATCGCAACCCTCAGTGTTGCCCCCGGACCGGGACCGGCAACGGGATCGCAAGCCTCGGTGTTGCTCCCGCGCCTCGCTCAGCCAGTGAGCGGGAGCCGGTCTGTATGTGGGATCCGAACCCTCGGACGGGAGCGCCGCCGCGCTTCCCAAGCGGCGCACTATCCAGTGCGCCACCGGGCCGGCCCACAGTCCATCTTTTCGAAAGGCTGTGACCCCAAGTCTAGGTCCAAACCACTACCCTACCAAAACTCCCTAGAAACAAAAGTATTGCATTCTTTGAACTAAAGAGTCCCAGTGGTCTACAGTTACACTATTTAGATTAGAGCCTGCTATACTATTTTTCTAACAGAGCAAGATCTATTTTTATCTGATCACAATGTAATGCATTGACATTAAAAGAAATGTGTAAAATGTAGAAAGGAAAAGCATATTGACAAAAACAGATATATATATATATATCACCTATAATCCCGCCACCCACTGTTAGTTACTATAATAATTTGGTGAATTTACTTGCAGTGTGTGTTTCTCATACTACAAGCTTGTGTTTCTCTCTCTCTCTCTCTCTCACACACACACATTTTGTTTTAAAACAAAAATAGGATCATTCTTTGCCTTCTGGTTGGTAACCTCTTTTTTTACTGTGTTGTGCACTTTAATGTCTTTAATACTGGACTGCTTTCCTACACAAGAATTCAACAGTCATCTGTCTCCTTTCAAAAACCCTACTACTATTTCATTTCTCACAAAAACTGTATATCTTATTATCCCCGTTTTGCAAACTGAAGTACAGGAAGTGCAGGTAATTTGCTCAATAGGCAGTGAGAGATAGAGCCTGTATTCAAACCCAGGAAGCTTGGTTCCAGAGTCCATTCTCTTTACCCATAATACTGTTTTGCCACAAAAAGACTATCTTTCAAAGAAACAAATGAGAATACATAGAACAAACACATTAGTTCAGAAACACAGATTGGAGAAAACATTCCAACAGTAAGTGAGGAAGAAATTTCATTCCAGACCAAATAATGCATAGTAGGGGTGGGTTTACTTATTTTAAGCAGACGTTAAAAATGTCTGGTAGTAACATAACACAGACTATTCAGTGTGGAAGATCTTTTGGCTACTTAATCTACGTCTTCTCTGAAGGTTTTTGGGACCCTGGTCTGCCTTGCATTCAGGAACTCAAATATGGCAGATATCCTTATATAACTTTTAAGAATACTTTAGAAAGTATCACTCTAGGTTCTCTTTTATATTAATTTTAGTTTGTTGACTACAACTTTTAGAATATAAATTCTTTGTCTAGTTTCAAAATCATAATAAACTTTCCCCCCAAGTACAGTATAAATGTAAATGTTTTAACACCTGCCAAACCATAGTTTGTCTCCACTGGCATTTTTCATTGTAGTTTGTTTTGATATTCTTTGTTTAAAAACACTTGCCAGAAATGTATAGAATTTGTAAAACCATAGTTGGTTTCCACTGGCATTTTTCTATAGAGTATGTTTTGATATTCTTCTCCTTGAATTACTGGTCCAGTTCTTCCTACATATTTGTATCTGTAAACACACATACACATCTCAGTGACAGAAGAAGGAATTTGGGATTTATTTCTATTCAAAAGTTAAGTAGAATGAAAAAAAAATAATGCATTTTTCTGAATAGGATGAAACGAGGAGGAAGAGATAGTGACCATAATTCATCAGAAGAAGGTTCTGCAGAGAAATCCAAGAAATTGAGGACTACAAATGAGCATTCTCAGACTTGTGATTGGGGTAATCTCCTTCAGGACATTATTCTCCAAGTATTTAAGTATTTGCCTCTTCTTGACCGGGCTCATGCTTCACAAGTTTGCCGCAACTGGAACCAGGTATTTCACATGCCTGACTTGTGGAGATGTTTTGAATTTGAACTGAATCAGCCAGCTACATCTTATTTGAAAGCTACACATCCAGAGCTGATCAAACAGATTATTAAAAGACATTCAAATCATCTACAATATGTCAGTTTCAAGGTAATACTTTAAATCCTTCTTTTAAAACAATAAAGCATTTTTAGTGGTTTTTGTGGCCTAAACCAGTACATCTTCTCATGTATTTAGAATATTTGCTGTATAAGTGAAAGTGTTTAAAGATTTAGAATTATTGCATGCCTTAGAAGCTGTCACAAATAATTATGATATTTGATGGAGCTGAATTACTCCATTATAAGTATTATTAATTTTTAAAAAGAGTAAAAGCAGCCACTAAATAAGCATAAATCATTGACCAAAGCTGTCAGTTACATTGAATTGTGAACAAATTTGAGGAAAAAAAATATGCAATATAATAAATAAAAATTGGGGGATATTATCATTGGGTAGAACTTAATTGCTATTTCCATCTAACAGGGACTGAGTGTTACTTATTGATAGCTTTTCGATATGGTATCTTCAACTAAAAAGGAGGCATAGAAACTTTACGTAAAAGGTTTAGATGAATATATTTGAGAGAGAAATAGAGAAGGGTACATAGAAGAATGCCAAAGACAACTGTTTCTTTTCATTGCTGGAAGGGATGTATTGGAAATCATGCAGTGATGAGATAAATGAAGTGGAATGGCTTTTTAAGATGTCCGTAGTAGTTTAAGAAATTACAGTGGTTTATGTTTGTGAGTACAGAGGCTTGTCTTGTTTTGGGGATGAATAATGAAATGTGGGCATGTTCACTGAATCCTTAACACCAGATTTTTTTTTGTAGCAAACAGCTGGTAATTGTTGTTGAAAAGTAACCATACATGAATGCCCAATTTGCCTGTATGTAGCAGTTGCCAAACAGGCCAAGTTAAACCTAAATAAAGCAACAGTTCTTAACACGGATCTTCTTGCCATAACTAAAGAGTGTCATTTCCTCTTAGGTGGAGGTTACCTGCTTATTCTCCCATAATGTGTCCAAGGACGAGTAGAGACTTGGTGATGGTAGTGGTTGGGTATATTGTGGCCTTCTTTCCAGAAAAATGCGTGAAGGCACTTAGGTCAATGGGGGTAGGATTGCTAGGTTTAGGAAATAAATATATAGAATTCCTAGTTAAATTTGAATTTTAGATAATCAGTGAATAATATTTAGTATAGATATGTCCTATGCAGTGTTTGGGACATACTTAATACAGAAAAATATTTGTTGTTTATGTGAAATTAAAATTTAATTGGATGTCTTGTACATTATCTGGCAGCCCTAACTGGGGCAAAGGTCAGAGATTGGTGGGGGATTAGACAAGCACAGATCCAGGCGCTCTTCATCTCCTTGCCGCTCCAGGAAAGAAACCCGAAGAGCCATCCCTTCGGTTTTAGCCATCTTTTGAGTTGTCTAAGAGTGTTCCAGTGGTAAATGCTGTAAAAAGATGAGTATAATACATTCATCTGATGGGCTTTAAAAACCAATTCTATCCGGTAGATTGGCTGGGTCAGTTTTATTCTTTTATAGCCCTATGACACAATTCAGGTCTATCTAACTTGTATAATGTTCATAAAACCATTTGTGCTATAAGTTTAATGCTTTTTGTTAGGGACTGTTTATTTTCCTGAGGAAATAATTTCTGATTTACTAAAAGAGCCACATCACAGGATTCTTCTGGGCTGTCCTGATAATATTTGTTTGTCCTCATTGACTGTAGGCCAAAGGGGCTTGTAGTCAGAGTTATTAGTCTGAAACAGAAGTTCTTAAACTGTATGTACATCAGAAACACCTGGAAGATTGGAAAGACAGAGATTGCTGAGTTCCATCACCAGAGTTTCTGGTTCAGATGGTATTGGTTGGACATGAGAATGTGCATATCTAACACAGTTCCAGGTGATGTCCATGTTGCTGGTCAAGGTACCACATTTTGGAACCACTGGTGCAAAGAAGCTTAGCCAAAGGATAATATTATAAACAGCTCTGAAATTGTAATATAAATTACTATATTAGTTTTACAACCAGCTCTTAACATTTTTGGGATAAGGTAATGTATGTGAAACGAAATTAAAGTAATGATATTACTTTTAACTCTTCTGTTTTAAGATGGTTTTTAGCCCGGGGAACAACTAACTTTTTAAGAGAAAAGCTCCCTATATCCTTGAGGGGTTTTCTTGGATGTATTACCATTCCCCCAGGAAATATCTATGCAGAAGAATGTGTGAGAGCTGCTACCTCTTTTTTTTTTTTTAGCCCGGGGAACAACTAACTTTTTAAGAGAAAAGCTCCCTATATCCTTGAGGGGTTTTCTTGGATGTATTACCGTTCCCCCAGGAAATATCTATGCAGAAGAATGTGTGAGAGCTGCTACCTCTTTTTTTTTTTTTTTTTTTTTTTTTTTTTTTAACTTTGGCAGCTGGCAGGCCAGGGGATCTGATACCTTTTATTTGGTTCAGATTTTCATGCTTGACTGGTTGGGGACCCTCATATTTTACTTCATGTGAAGTAAAACAAATGAATGAATCCCAGGTTGTGATTCATCAGAACATTCTAAGTAAATATTCAGTTTCTGGTACCTTGGAACATGTGTACTATGGGCACTGTATTTACATATATTATGTGTTCCACTACCAGATATATAATTACTTTTCAGAGACTATAAATTGATTTATTGCACTAGTTTGTACAGTTTGGAATAAATCAACTTAAAAATCAAGCCCTTTCAACATTAAATATATATCTCATAATAAAATCTGTCTTGACAGTTGCCCTTATAATTTTTCCGAGGGGCTCAGAAAAGGCTGAAGTTGTAGGTGAAGGTGGATGTTTGAAAGAAAAAATATTCTTTAAATTATAATGCAATAAACTAATAACTATATTCTTGTTTATGTAAAAATAAGGTATGTACAGAGAAATGTAAATATTGCATGGGTAAATGGTGTTTTTTTCCCTAAGGTGGACAGCAGCAAAGAGTCAGCTGAAGCAGCTTGTGATATATTATCACAACTTGTGAATTGCTCTTTAAAAACACTTGGGCTTATTTCAACTGCTCGACCAAGCTTTATGGATTTACCAAAGGTACCTGCTCGTTTTGTTTTATAGCTGTTACTGAGAAATCAAATGAAAGCCTAACCATTTTTTGTGTTGCCAGTGAAGAGTATAAGAAAAATAGTATATATATGTGCTGGAAAACCACTTAGTATTTAAAATGTTAATTTCAAAAATGGTGTTTTTTTTTTTTAAAAAGATGACCGGTAAGGGGATCTCAACCCTCGGCTTGGTGTTGTCAGCACCACGCTCAGCCAGTGAGCAAACCGGCCATCCCTATATGGGATCCGAACCTGTGGCCTTGGTGTTATCAACACCGCACTCTCCCGAGTGAGCCACGGGCCGGCCCGTGTTTTTTAAAAATGCTTTACTTTGTGCTTCTTCATTGGTGAGGTTAAAGGGTAAATGAATTTTCAAAGGATTCTGTAGGAAGTGCTAAAGTAAACTAAGTAAAACTGAGAAACAAGCATATTAGAAAAAGGAGACGTGTAGGTGCTCCTTTTGGGTCTTTTAGAGCAGATTAGTGAAGTTAGGATCAAAAAAAATAGAAAGTGCCAGTAGGGAGAGCAGATATAGCTAACTTATAAAGTCTGTGGCAAGAGTTAACTGTTTATATTCATATATATGATCTAACATGATCCTGTACATAATTGGAAATAGTCTTCCTCTCTTCTTCCTCTTCATTCTCTTTGTCTCTCCCTCCTTCTGTCTCTGTCTCTGTCTCTCTCTCTCTCAGCTGTTCTCTTAAAACAGGAAAATAAGGGTGTGTTTTTTGAAAGGCAACTTGATAAAGCCCCCTGAGTATGTTAACTAATGTTCAGTAGGTTAGTATCCAGCAATAATTTGAAAGTTGTTTTTTTTTTCCAGATTACTCCACAAGCTAAAATAGACACCCTTTTAAACACTTAACAGTTGAATTTACTAGGAAAATTCAGGAAGGAATATTACTAAATATCGAGTATATATCATAACCCAGGTTGTTGTTTCAACAGAATACCAGTACCAAATGTATCACTAGTTGATTTCAAAGTCTTAAGTTGATTTTTTAAAAGTTTCATTAAATGTATGTGTACGCTTTGAGACAAAATAAGGGAAATGGGCAAGAGAATTTGTTCATTTTAACATCTTAAGATCCTATGTACACGAATTAGGTCACTGTGGTTCTCAGACTTAATTTTGAATTCCTGTCTCTATTCCAAATTTGGTATGATTTCAAGTCTTCCCTTCCTGCAAGCAGTCCAGGTGATTCTGATTAAGTTGGTTCGAGGACTTCACTCTAAGGAACATTGAATTACACAGTATAGTACCACCTTTTTCAAGCTTCACATGGGAAGTGAAATGTTCTGAACTGATTTTCTATATACCTATCATAGTTAAAAAACAAATACACATATTCATGTATATGGTATATATAAAATATCCCATATTAAATGGTATGTTGAACATAATTTCCTTCTTTTTTTATTACTTGGTGATATCATTGTGCACATATCGAGTCCTAACTGGGAACTATTGATGCAGCTAGGACTGCTTCTTTCCTTATTAAGTGGGCCCAGGATGCTTATACAGTTTTCCTTTTTTTCTTTTCCTTTTATGGCTTTTGTAGAAGATTGAAATAGGTGTTGCTAAATGTTTTGGAAATCCTGGAGAACTGAAGAGATCATAGAAGTATTTGATCAGAGCTAAATCGGGGAAATGGGGGAAAATGTCAGTGATGCAGTCATGAGCATCTAATGAAGAAATGTGATTGTACAATATAATTGAGTTTGATATGAAAATATTGAGACATGTTTAACATTTAAGTAGTTAAACAGTTACTTAGTCAAAGTAAGTAGTTAATCAGTTATTTAATCATGGTAGGGAAAGAGTAAATTAGGGAATGTGACTGAGAAGGTAGTGTTTCATTGTACTCTCTTGGCTATTAACCTCATCCTTTTTTTACTGCTGTAGAGAATTTACAAAGCTGAGTGCAGGATGAGGTTGATTATGTATAGGGGTGTCTTAGAGCATGTATTGGCCTTTCTTTCCTTACTGTCCTGAATTCTTTGCACATTGTTTATAGCTTCTTATCTCAGGTCTGATTCCAAGTCACATGTATTATCATATTTTAATCCTTGTTTCCTAACAGTGGTTCCTTTAGGTCATATAATTATCTAAAAGGTAATTATATGTATATAATAAATTGAATGATACTCATTGGTACATTTGTGGACAAAATACGTTAAGATAAAATAGAAGGCTTGAAAATATTGTATATAATTAAACATATTTGAGGGAGTTTTAATTTGGAATTTTATTTAAGCATGATTTTGGTTGTTTTAGAATCAAATTTTGTATGAGCTTTCATGTTCCAAATGAGTCATAGCTTTTGAATTGATCGACTGTTAATATTAATTTTTAATGATTGTGCTAATAGTTATTACTATTTTAATGGTCATAACTATCAAAAAGGAAAAAAAAAATGCAGTTCAGTGTTAAAAAAACACTAGAGTAGAGTTTCCAGATATGATGAAGTGTCTGCAAGGTATTCTGAACCTGGGTTCCAGAATTCCTCTTTTTTACTTACCAATGGTTGTTACGATTTTGAATCACTCATTTTGAGTGAGGTTTGAAATGCTTTTTTCTCCTGCAGGTAAAAAGGCTCGTCTCAAGATGGCAGATAGTAACCTCTTTTTACCACACTTCCAACAACAGTGAAGGGGCACTACTCCTAAAACAGTTGTGAAATATGTCATTAGGGTTCAGATGAACCATATTTGGTATTATATGGAAACTTAAATTCTCATATCTAAAAATTGAAATAATGTTTTAACTTTTTGCTTTTTAGTCTCATTTTATCTCTGCACTGACAGTTGTGTTTGTAAACTCCAAATCTCTGTCCTCGCTGAAGATAGATGATACCCCAGTAGATGATCCATCCCTCAAAGTACTAGTGGCCAACAACAGTGATACACTCAAGCTGCTAAAAATGAGCAGCTGTCCTCACGTCTCTCCAGCAGGTGTGTTGTGTTTTTTGCTGGACACATTTTAGTAAAATGTGTTGATGTGTTTATCAGATTAAGAAAAACTGTGATCATTAATCTTGAAGGTAGGTTAAAGTGACTATTTCATCACTTTTGCATTAAAGTATTTTTAGTGTCGTAATATAATAGCATAAATTCTGTACTGTTACTAGCCTAGACACTGACTTTCAGCTTATTTTCTAATCTTATTTGGCAATTTGTGTACTGCATGTGCTGGAAAATGAATAAAAAAAAGAAAAAAGGAAAGGAAAGGTTTCCTTGGGGTGTCCCGTTAGGTAAAATAGTCAAGTTGAGCTAACAGGGTAGGTTTTGAGTCATAGTAGTCACATAATTGCTTTCTTCGGTTTTGAGTCATAGTAGTCACATAATTGCTTTCTTCTTTTTATGTAGAGGTAGAAGAGTTGTACTTAATTTGTTGCCTTACATTTTGCAAAATAATGGTTTTCCTAAGTTGCATCTTGGAGCTGAGAACCCATCAAATGGGGGAATAGCATTACAAAAGCTCTTTCCAACTTCTCGTGTCGAATTTTCTGGGTATTACTACATTATTCAGTTTGAAATTGTTTAAATTCCAGATGATTTGTATTGAAGTATAAACCCAAATTTCATATTACTGTCTATTGCTTCACTCCTGACTTCTCCCATTATTCACGTCCCGGGATCCTGATCTTTTAGCTGTGTTATTTAGGAAACCTTTTCTTTAAGGGACAATGTTAAAATCTTCGATGTCTTAACAAAACTCTTCCTTCCTCTTGGTATAACTAAAGCGTGGCCTTCTTTTTTTTTTTTTTTCCTTTTTTGTCTTTTTTACTGACCAGTAACGGGATCGCAACCCTCGGTGTTGCACCCGCACCACGCTCAGCCAGTGAGCGGGAACCGGTCTCCACATGGGATCCGAACCCTCGGCGGGAGCGCCACCACACTCCCAAGGGGTGCACTCTCCAGTGCGCCACCGGGCCGGCCCAAGCCTGGCCTTCTACCAAGGAAATGATTCACTCTCTCTGATGGAGATTACTTGCTCATTCTCCCAAGTTTCCTATAAGGAGGATCTTGGTGATGGGAATGGCTAAGTCTCCTGTTGTATTTTCCTAGCCCTCTCTGCCACTTACTAGGTTATCATTGAAAGGTATTATAAAAGTTAAGAAGAATAGGCTTTGGCAGCTACTTATGTGACCTTGATGACATTTTACTATCTACTATATGAGTCTGCTATGAGAGTAAGGTTCAAATTTCATAGCTTCATAGTGTACAAGGTCCTTTTTATGCTGACTTCCACCTGTCTCTTTAATCTTATTCTGCTACTCACTCATATGCAGCTTTTACTCGAGCCCTATGGAACTACATAAGAGTTCTTTGTTTGTACCTTTGGTATGGTGAGTATGCTGTGCCCTGTGGACTACTTTTAAGGATTTTTAACTTCATGTAGCTAACTCCAGCTCAGCGTTTAAAATTCAACTCACGTATTGCCTGTTTTGATCCCTCTCTTCCTTTCTGGTTTAGATTTCCCCACCTGTATGTTTCCATAGCAGTAGCACTCTGAGCATAAGTGATAGCGACTGATAGCATTTACCATGAGAGCCTTTGGGTCTCTGGTTTCTCCGTGAAACTGTGAGCTCATTATTCTCTTTGTCCTAGTACATCCCATGTGTGTTTATTTTTATTAAATATACCCATCGGTTGTGATAGTATAGTATAAGCTTGCTTGGTCCCACCTAATGACTTTGGGAATTGTTTAGTAAGGGAAGAGAAAGAACACTTGTAATATGAGGGGTCTTCAAAAAGTTCATGGAAAGATTTGTATTATCTTTTAATTCTATTTTCCCACAAACTTTTTGAAGTATCCTCATATTTTTTTTGGTGGGGGGGGAGGGTGGCTGGCCGGTATGGCTCTCATACTTTTTAATTGAAGAGTGTAACCAGAGATTTTAAAATTTAACTTATTTACATATCTTTCTATATTTTGCATATTTGGAGAGTTTCTTTCTCTAAGTTGAAATTATGGGCTACTATTCTACTTTCTGATCTATTTTCTTCACTTAACATTTTATCAATCTTTTTTCCCATTTCATATGGTAATTATAATTGTCTATAACCGGACCTCTAGGAAGCATTTGACACTAGAGACAGCTGCTTTTTTGATATCATATTCCTGATTTTCCTCCTTCCTCTCTGTTCCTACATGGTTTCTCTTTTCATTCCTTAAATTTTGGTTTTTCACTGTGTTCTGTACTGGGTTCTTTTTTGTTGTGTTCTGTAAACTCTGGGCTGTTTCATTATATTCCGTGGCTTCACTTTTGCTCCATGTGTTAAAACCTCCTCCTTTCAGTGTCTCTAGAACTCCAGAGCTATGTGTTGAACTGCTGACAGCCCAGTGCTCTAGAATGTCTCACTGGTAGTTCAGACTAAAGAACTTCCCTTCTCCCTCTTTCCGTATCTCTTCCTCTTCCCGTTTTACTGTCTCAGTGAATGGCATCATCCTTCTAGTTGTCAGGGATTTGACAGTCTTCCTTGATTCCTCCTACCCATTCTTTCTACATTCCTTCAGTCGCTGAGGTCTGGTGACTCCATCACCAAAATATGCCTTGAATCTCTCTACTTTTCTCCATCTCCACTCTAACTATTCTAGGCCAGACCACCATAATCTTTGTGCAGTACTCTCTTAACTGATTTCCTAACTTACAGCCTTGCTCTTCTATAATCTGATTTCCATGCCACAGGGAGAGTAATCTTTCTAAAATGTAAAGTTTTTTTTTTTTTCCCCCTCCATTTTCCTTCAGAACTTCTTACCATGCTTTGGATAAAACCCAAACTTCTTACCTATGCTCACAGGGTCCAGTATGATCTAGCCCTTACCTATTATTGGGCTTCAACCTTTGATATTCACTGTTTTGAGCACCTTCAGTTCTTAGAATGCTTGTGTTTTTTTCCATGTCTGGGTGTTCACAAAGGAGATAATATTCTCTTTCCTTTTCCATTTTCCTTTTGCCCTACCCCGATCCTTCTAATTTTTTAGGTCTGTATTTCTTCTAGGAAATCTTCCCTACTTCTCTTTTATGAGCTCCCACAGCATACTTATTTAATTATTGGCTGCCTCCTATTAGGATAAGAATGTCTTGTTCTTGTTGTAGCTTTACTATCCTAGCACCTGTTATTTAAGATACTCATCAATTACCAGCTGAACTAATTAACATTTAGTTACTTAGTATTCTACCTTGTTGATAAGCCAACATTTGCACTACTTCTTCTAAGGTTGGACACTTAGTTTGTTTCCACTTTTTTGCTGTGATTAAAAAAAAAATTTCTTGATAACTAATGTTGTTGGGTATCTTTTCATGTGCTTATTGGCCATTTGTATATCTTTGGAAAAATGTCTATTCAAATCCTTTGCCTATTTTTTAATTGGGTTATTTGTTTTTTATTATTGAGTTGTAATAGTTTAGCAGTTTTATTTTTCTCACTATGCTGTGTTATGTATTTAAACACTTGTTACTACATATTAGTTTTCTTTGGCACATAGGAAGCAGTTTGCTTCTATTAATTTCTTCCTTAGGGCAAATTCTTAAGAAGTGGAAGTCCTAAGTCAAAGGGTTCAAATCTCTTTTATGCTTCTTGCCATCTTTCTTCCCGAATGAATTTGTAATACCACAAATAATATACTGGTTTTGCAACACTTTGTTGAAATGTAATTCACATACCATACAATTCTCATTTAAAGTGTACAGTTTAATGGCTTTTGGTATTTTTGGCAGAGTAGTGCATCTATCACCACAATCAGTTTTAGAACATTTTCATTATTTCCAAAAGAAACCACATACCTCTTCGCTGTTGCCCCTAAAACTCCATCCCATCTGTTCCTAGGCAACCACTAATCTATTTTCTGTCTCTATAGATTTGCCTATTCTGGACATTTCATATCAATGGCATCATACCATATGTGGTCTTTTGTTTTTGGCTTCTTTCATTTAGCATGTTTTCCATGTTAATGCATGTTGTATCATGTATCAGAGCTTCATTTCTTTTTGTTACCCACTAATATTTCATTGCGTGGATATACCACATTATCTATTGATCAGTTGATGGATGTTTGGGTTGTTGCCACCTTTTAACTGTCATGAATAATGCTGCTGTGTACATTCATGTATAAGTTTGGGTGGGCATATGGTTTAATTGCTCTTAGGTATATACCTACTAATGGAACTGCTGGATCATATCGTAACTCTGTTTACCCATTTGAGGAACTTCCAGACTGTTTTTCCAAAGCAGCGGTACCATTTTACATTCCTACTAGCAGTGTGTGAGGGTTCCAGCTTTTCCGCATCTGAACACTTGTTGTCTTTTTCATTATAGCCATTCTAGCAGGTGTAAACTACTATCTTATTGTGGTTTTGATTTGCATTTTTTTCATGAAAGATAATATTGGGTATCTTTTCATGTGCTTATTGGCCACTTGTATATTTTCTGTGGAAAACTGTCTATTCACATCCTTTTCCTATATTTTAATGGGGTGATTTGTCTTTTTATTATTGAGTTGTAATAGTTTACCAGTTTTATTTTATCTTTCTCACTGTGTTGTGTTATGTATTTAAACACTTGTATTTACTTATTAGTTTTCTGTTGCTGCATAACTAACTACAAATATAACAGCTTATATCAATACCCATTATTAGTTCCATAGTTCTGTAGGTCAGGGCTGTGGGCATGTCTCAACTGGCTTCTCTGCTTATGCCCTTAAAAGGCTTAAAGTGTCAGACAGGCTGGGCTATTATTCGGAGGCTCTAGGGAAGAATTCTCTTCCACACTTATTCATATTGTTGGCTGAATTCAATTCCTTGCGGTTGTAGGACATATCATTTCCTTACTGGCTGTCAGCAAGAGGCTGCTTGGGGGTCTCTCTCTTCTCTTAGAGGCTGCCTACATTCTTTCTTTTTTGGCCCCTCCATCTTAAAGCCAGCAGTAACATTGAATTCCTCTTTATGCTTTGAATCTCTCTTCCTCTTCTGCAACCAGCCAGAGAAAACTGCTTTTAAAAGGGTTCCTCCTCGTGTGATTAGATTTGGACTACCCAGATAATCTATCTTATATGGCCAGCTGTGCCATATAACATAATCAACGGTGTGGTATCTTATCACATTCACAGATATCAGGCATAAGGATGTGGAATCTTGGGGGCGATATTTATTTATTTATTTATTTTTAATTAATTTTTATTTTAAAGATGACCGGTAAGGGGATCTTAACCCTTGGCTGGGTGTTGTCAGCACCACGCTCAGCCAGTGAGCGAACCGGCCATCCCTATCTAGGATCCAAACCGCTGGCCTTGGTGTTATCAGCACCGCACTCTCCTGAGTGAGCCACGGGCCAGCCCGGGGGGGCCATAATTAGAATTATGCCTGCCATCGCTGTTTTAGTAGTTATTAAATGATTTCTCAAAGTTTCTTTTATTTGGTTACCACTTTCCATGTGTTTTTCTTTCTTTTTTTATCAAGCTTTTTGAGATTACAAAGAACAGAGATATGCAGTCAGGTGACCTGGGAAGATCAGGGTGTTTTTTAGTGTACATTCATACCTTGTGGAGAACAGAAACTTTGTAGTGGCTGAATAGTGAAGTACAGATGTCCATTCCTCCCTCTTCTTGTGACTCATTGTGGTGATTCAGTTTCTCTCTCCTCTGCTTCTGTTGCCTGACTTCTCCTCTCACTGCTGTAAAGCTTTGGCTTATTGGTGGCCTCTGTCTCATCACTTCTTAATAGTTAAGTGCATGAACTTAAGAGTCACTTAGCTTGTGTTTGTTTTCCAGCTTTGATATCTTTAGCTAGCTGCCTTAATTTCAAAATATAAATAATATCTAGTTTTCCACAGTTTTTGAGTATTTGTGGGATAACATTTAGTACATGGCATATCAACCTTACACAGTAAATAGTAGGTGAAAATATGATGTATGTTTTGTTGTGTTTGTAAACATAAGAAGTGGATTGAGTGGGTTATTTATCAGGTTGCATAGGGTGCCTCTTTGGGGTAGTCTTATGTCGTTTAACCAGGGATACGTTCTGAGAAATGTGTCATTAGGCAATTTTGTCATCATGCAAACATCATAGAGTGTACATAGATGGTATAGCCTTCTATATATCTAGGCTATATGGTATTGTCATTATATTGTGGGACTACTGTGTGCGATCCATTGTCAACAGAGACGTCCTTATATGGCGCATGACTGTAATAGGCTACTTGAAGATCAAATATTGATCTTTGGTATGAAGTCATCTGTTGCTAGGGTAATAGTTTTGGGCAGTTATGAAGCATTGTGCCTTAAGGATAGAGAACAGTGTAAGGAACTGCTTTCTGGGTGTGTTAGAGCTTCAAAAGTCAAAATGTGTATTTCTGTTGATGTGAATTGGGTGGTTATCTTTGACTTTTTTTTCTTTTTCTTTTGGCAGCTGACTGGTACAGGAATTCTTAGACTCAATTTTCTAGTAATATCATTTTTTCTTAGAAATGTGATAAGCTATACTATTAGCAATTGAACTGTTGATCATCTGATGGAAATCTTCTTTATTTTGTAAATGCTTTAGTTATGGAAATCATAGTTTTTATATGATTATATCTTATCCTATTTCTTCTCATTATGGTTAGGTTTTGAATTTAAAAAAATGTCCTTTGGCTTCTGTTGCAGTGATCATGTAATTTTTCTTACTTAATCTGTGAGTTTAGTGGTAGTAATAATTTTTTTTTTTAAATACAGTACTGTACATGCATTACTCGGATAAATTTTAGTCATGGTATATTTTTAAAATGACGTTACTAATTATAATTTTTCTGAGCTGATAAGTAAGCTTTCTTTTTAAGGTATTGGATTTAGAATTGGTTTCATTTTCTTGTAGACAAAATTAGTAATGGCTTTAAAAAGTTTGTGACTTCTGCTAATTCAGCTATACAGCTAAATTTTAAATTGTATAGCTTTGTGGTAAGGAAAATATGGCAAAATTTTGTGGACATGTACTCGATTGAATATTTGAATAGATGAACTTGTACAAAAACTTATAATTAATTTTTTTTTCTTCCAAGGTATCCTTTGTGTAGCTGATCAGTGTCATGGTTTACGAGAACTGGCCCTGAACTACCACTTACTAAGTGATGAGTTGCTACTTGCTTTGTCTTCTGAAAAACACGTTCGATTAGAACATTTGCGCATTGATGTAGTCAGTGAGAATCCTGGACAGACACACTTCCATACTATTCAGAAGAGCAGCTGGGATGCTTTCATCAGACATTCACCCAAAGTGAACTTAGTGATGTATTTTTTTTTATATGAAGAGGAATTCGACCCATTCTTTCGTTATGAAATACCTGCCACCCATCTTTACTTTGGGAGATCAGTAAGCAAAGATGTGCTTGGCCGTGTGGGAATGACATGCCCTAGACTAGTTGAACTAGTAGTGTGTGCTAATGGATTACGGCCACTTGATGAAGAGTTAATTCGCATTGCAGAACGCTGCAAAAATTTGTCAGCTATCGGACTAGGGGAATGTGAAGTCTCATGTAGTGCCTTTGTTGAATTTGTGAAGATGTGCGGTGGCCGCCTGTCTCAGTTATCCATTATGGAAGAAGTATTAATTCCTGACCAAAAGTATAGTTTGGAGCAGATTCATTGGGAAGTGTCTAAGCATCTTGGTAGGATGTGGTTTCCAGATATGATGCCCACTTGGTAAAGACGTGATGTAGGGCACCTTAACTTCAAGCAAATGTATTATGTAAAAGCTTATTTGCTATAGTTCTGATATAATTCTACTATTTTGTGGCACAGAAATTTGATATCTTCAGTGTGTATAAAGGATTGTTTAATGGAAGACCCACAGATCAGTTTTCATTAGAAAGCTCCATTTGTTTCTTTAGCCTAACAGCAATCAAATCTCTGAAAATTAAAAAAACCCACACATGGTTGGGATGTGAAAGTAATAACCAGTTATAAAGACTAAACAGTTTATAGTCTGAAGGAAACCAAACCTATACATTATAATATACAAGAAATACTAATAGGTTTTCCTAAATGTTATGTTCTCTATGCATTTTTAAAAAAATTTAAACTTGACATTGTAGGGTCTTCAGTTATACATACACCTGTTATAAGGTGTTTAATACAGCTCAGGAAAGTGAGCATTTTGTGGGAAAAATGTAGGGTATATGTAATGAAAAAGATTGGTTGAATGTTCTCAAATGTTATAAGCTGCTTAAAGAAAGAGGTTATATATAAGTAATTGGATCACTTAGAAAACTGATAAATGTCACACAGTGGTTATTATAGAAGGATTATACACAGAGCCAAGATCAAATTAAAAGAAAATAAATGGAATAAGGGAGGTAGTTTTTGCTTTGTATAAACTTTTAGACTTGTTCTGTAATCTGCTAAATCACATAAATTCTTTTCCGTGATAATATTACTATATATGTGGCACTTGAGACCTTGTATGTAAAGTAAGGAATGCTTTACCAGTTGTCCTTGGTTTTATCTTTGTTTAAACTAGTTTTGAAGCATTATACAGTAATTGAAAGAAAAAACTTATCTATTAAAAAAGCCAAATTGAAATAATTAAAGATAGAACTTGAAAATGTTCATGAATTGTTTCCATGAAAGAGTATTAGTCTTCAGTGAATTTTAGTGATGGCTCACTTTTCCATTTTGGAATTATATAGTTATGTAAGTAGAATTCTAAAAAGTCATAAAAGGAGCACCACTGTACAGTTCCGCACAAATAGTAAATTTAAAAGGATATATTTAAGTTCATAATCATATTTTTGAGTAAATTTGCTCAGTGAACTGGAAAGTTTTAATAGAAAAATGTCTACAGTTTTTGGGACTGTTAATTTGGTTAAAGTGATATTTTATATTATTCAAATTAGCATTTTATATTACTTTCATATGAATAAAGGTAATCCATGCATTGTAGAGTCTATAAAAATCGTTTTGGGTTACATTTCGTTTTATAGATTATATAAACTTTGATTCTGGGCACTAGTGCTAGTAGATATAACCCTCCTAAAGGAAATTAGAAGTGATTTATCCCCAGTGGAATATTTGAGATGGCTCTCTTCAGTGGTGTGACTTTTAGAAACTATCTCAGTAGTCATGACACCTAACAGTCTTACAGAAGTAATCTATTTTTAAAATAGATGACCTTCCTAGGAATAAAGTTAAAAGTGATATTCTACATAATTTTTTTCAAAAGTGATGGTAGCCCCATATAAAGAAGAAAAAGGCTGACCCAGTCTTGAAAATTAAAAGCTATTGTAGTATTTCCCCTCTTACTAAATAGTAAAAAGCTTCTATTGTACAAGAAATGCCTGTGCTAGTGAATTTTTTTTTTTCTTGAACAACTTTGGAAAATGGATTTGACAGTATACAATCAGTTTTAACCACAGCTTTATTTGGAAATTTACTTTTTGTACAAATTGAATATATATAATGCTTGAAATATTTTGTCACTTTATAAGCAAAATGTATTGCACTTAAATTGTTTATACTGTAAAGTATATGTTAAATGCTTTTTATCAATTTGAGAATAAAGATAGTTACTAAGCCTATTGTATTAGTTTTTAAAAACTACCCAAACATATGAGAATACTTCAAAAAGTTCATGGAAAGATTTGTATTATCTTTTAATTCTGTTTTTCCATGAATTTTTTAAGTATCCTCGTATATACTTACCTGATTCAAAAGTAGCTAAACTTACAAATTTATGGTTTTAGTTTCAAATCCATAATATAATGTTAAAACAAAGTTCATGGTAGACTGTTTTTTTTTGATGATACAAGGTTAGGCACATGGAATCCATTCTTGAAATAAGCTCTGATGTCTAAAGTGATATGAAATTAAAAATCTACCATGAAATGTAAATTTACTTTTTAAGTTTCATACAGAAAATGATTAAAGATAAGAAATAGGTTCTTTCTGCCTTCAGAACAAGAATTTATAAACACATTTAGGAACAGAATTCTCAGTCTTAAAGGGTCCTTGAACCCAGCTAGCCTTTTAGAAAGAAATGTCGTTATATAAATGATAATAATTTTTAAACTATTGAGTTGAAATTATTTTCATCTTCTGTCTTAACAGCTCTCAGGAAATAACTTCAATTTACCTTGGTAATCTGGGCTATTTTAACAGTATTACTAGCAAAAACAGCCATGATTGAAGATTAAATCAATTTATTGCATTCTAAGAAGAATTTTTTGTATTTATCAAAAAGCTTAGGCTAGAAAGAAGGGGTTGGTGTGAAGAAGGCTCAGACCTAAACTAGGTCCTTTAAGAGGCCCTAATTAATCTCTACCCCACACGTAGCTGGGAATCTGTACAGACTCTAACCCCAGTATATCTGTGGACTGGTTTTAATGTCAGGCAGTCGGGAAAATCCCACTTGCATGTGAACTAAGAGTTTATCCTTAGATAAATTAGTCCAATAAAAGCATAAGTAATATCCTAACTTGTTTTAAATAGAAAATCTAGAAAGGAAGGTTTGAAGAGCAGGAAACTACTTGGATAATAAAGGGTAAACATGAGGAAGATACTAGAAAGAAACTTGGGCCAGCACATTTGCCTTTGTGTACACGGAAAAGCCTGTGTGTGGTTTTGGAACATCGCTCTTTATATAACAACTATTTAAAAAATAAACTCATCTTGAACTATAGTCCCAAATAATTAAGTGCCACCAGAGCAGACTATACAGACAATAAAACTAGATAAAATTTCCTAACATTTGCCTTTTTCCCCCCGATTATAAAGGAGCCAATATTGATTGAGGATTCCAAGTTTTTAAGCTTCAGTAGTTTTCACATTTTGACTGTTTTCCTTTACCTGCAACCATATTTTAGGTGACACTTTGTGGGTATAACTTACCTAATATTGAGCCAGAATTAATGAGTGAGGATATATTTATTCTAAATCCCTAATATAATTCAAACTTCAACAAAATGGTTTGTTAGAAATAGAGGAAGTTTTATACATTTATAATTTAAATTAACATCAAAACAAATAACATTTAAGTTATGTGAGTACAGTAGCTCAAAGGGCAGCAAAATTTAATTGGTAAATTCCTGCCCAGCTATGTTTTGGTTTCCCAAATGCCATTTTAAAGTATGAGGGTACTTCAAAAATTTCTTGGAAAAATGGAATTAAAAGATACTATAAATCACTTCATGAACTTTTTTTTTTTGGCAGCTGGCCAGTATGAGGATCTGAACCCTTGATCTTGGTGCTGTAATACCATGCTCCAACCGAGCTAATCAGCCAGCTTCGAACCTTTTGAAGTACCCTTGTATATTTTTGAATCATGTTTACTTGAAAGCTCTATTTCATCTTTTAAGTACAGTTGACAGGTTTCATAAATTCTTAAGAAGTGTTTATTATGAATGCTATGCTGTCTGTGCTATAGTCACCTGAATCTATATGGTATTTTAACAATTTCTTCATTTATTTTCATAGGAACAATGAAAAATTTTGAAGGCTTTTTTAACATAACTACTATAATCTTGTTTAAAAGTCAAGTTCTGTATAGATATCTTTATTTGGTTTTGCTGTGGAATCAAGTTCTGTGATTTGCAGTTGACACAAACTCAGTACAAGAATCTTTGCTTGTCACTCCAATGCAGTTCTGGAAATCCAAAATATTGTTTTCCTAGAGCAGTTTTCCTGAGAATCTTGTAGAAGGTAGTGTTGCCTGAGGTTAGCAACTAGACAGTGATAATGCAAAAATCCAAGTTTTCTTGTGGTATATATTCTGAAGACAATTAGCAGGTTAAAGAGGCAACATTAATTAGGAACGTTTAGGCACTATTAAAATGAGTAGACAGACTAAATGACAGGCAGTGAAAGAAGGTTCTCCCTATGTATTTGAGGAAGACTTTACATCTGGTGCAGTAGACAGAATGGTGTAGTGCCATGTTTCTCAAGCTATCTGTCATGATGGAGTTTTTATTTTCAGACTGTTGTGAGGACTACAGTTTTGAAAAACAAAACAAAACAATTCTTAGACGAAATAAGAACAGACATACAAAATACAAGCCCCAATTATTTTTATTAGATTCAACAGAAACAAAAATAGTCCAACAAATAGCTTTAAAGGTTTCTATGTGCTTCCTGTCAGTATCTCCACTTATCTTCTCATAGACCAGTAACATTGGCTGGACAAGGATCATACTTTGTGTAGTGCTGAAAAATTAGTATAGCGCATTTGATTCATTCAGCAGAACCTGTGTTTAAAGTCTGACTCCATTACTACTAGCTGGGTCACCATGGAAAATCACTTAACCTTCCTAAGCCCCAGTTTACTCATTTGGATCAGGTAAATAATATCTACAATTAGGCTTTTTATGAGAGCTAGTTAGTACAGTGATAATGTACTAACCTCTCAGGAAGCACTCAAACATTAGTTGAAACTGAACAATATAATTGGTACATTTACATATTAAACACATTGTTTTCTTTCATCTCTGCTCCATCCTTACTGTTGTGTTTTTCCATGAATAGAAAGAACATGTGTGTCCAGTTGATCATCAAATACTTAAAGGACCTTGAAAGCTTGTTTGATGGCCCTAATGAAAGCACAGCTACTTGGAGATCCTTGACAAAAACCTGTCTCTGGGATGTGCACCCTCTTGCACTGTGCTGGCAGCTTTTTATTTTTTAAAAAAGACCAGTAAGGGGATCTTAACCCTTGACTTGGTGTTGTCAGCACCATGCTCTCCCAAGTGAGCTAACTGGCCATCCCTATATAGGATCCGAACCCGTAGGCTTGGCGTTATCAGGACCACACTCTCCCGAGTGAGCCACAGGCTTTTAAAAAAGACCAGTAAGGGGATCTTAACCCTTGACTTGGTGTTGTCAGCACCATGCTCTCCCAAGTGAGCTAACTGGCCATCCCTATATAGGATCCGAACCCGTAGGCTTGGTGTTATCAGGACCACACTCTCCCGAGTGAGCCACAGGCCTGCCCCGTGCTGGCAGCTTTAGTGGGAGGAGGGAGAACTACAGGAAGCAGTGAAGGAGTCAGAAAGTACCTGTCTCTCCATGCATTGTCTGCAGCCAGATACCTCCTTGCCCCAGATGTCTGAAGAACCGCTGAAGCACCACCATGTTATCAGTTCAAATGAGGAAAGACTGACACAAAACTACATTAGGAAAGATCAAGGACGACAGTCTGTTCTGTGATTAATCATTATAGCTACCATTCATTGTGACCTTACTATGCCAAACATACATGATTTTAATCTTTACAGCAACCCTGACAGATGAATCATTTTAGAGATAAGGAAACTAAGGCTTAGAGATATTAAGTTGCTTAAATCACAAAAGTTAAGTTACTAGCTACATCCAAAATGCTAGCCAGAAATCTGTGCTCTTTAACACTGTATTTACCACATCTGGAAGCACAACCACTCCAGCTATGGTGTCCAAACAAGTCCTTAAAATTAAATGGATGGAATGCAATCAGACTGCTAGACACGGTTCTAAAAGTTATAAAAGGTGGAAAGTTAGTCTAAACTTCCAAAAAACACTTAAGTGAAAAAGTGTAAAACTTCCGTACCAGAAAAAGTAGCTCCCACCATGAAAAAAATTGTCACTGAGAGTATTTCTAAAATCTTGGCACTCTATATCCACAATTTTAAAATTTGGGGTCCAAAGATCCTACATATCTGATATGAACCATAATTCTCCATATCAACAAAGGCTTGGAAATTGTAAACCATGATCACCTAATGTGCTCACTTTGGCCAATATAGCAAGGGAAAAGTCCTGAGATAATATGCAGCAGTTCTGCCTACACGCATTTCCCTTATGCCCCAAGGAATAAAGGCTAGGAAATCCACAATATACACAAATATAAAATTACCTCCTGAAAAACTGACATGCTGGTGGTTATAGAAAAAAAGAGCAGTAGAATTAAGGTTTTTATATATATACTTTTTTTTTTTTTTTTTTGCTTGTGGCCGATATTGGTATCCGCACACTTGACCTTGGTGTTATAACACTGTGTTCTAACCAACTGAGCTAACTAGCCAGCCCTAACGTTTTAGAAACCAGGGAACGTTTTGTTTCTGTTAGGTAAAGGGATTTCTTCATACGTTATTTTAATAAAAGGGAATTTCATAGGTAAAAACCAATATTCAAAATTATAAAACAAGTAGAACTGTCTGTGCATAATCACTACATCAAAAATTCGCAAGAGACTCAACAGGAATTCTTTAGTTGACAAATACGGTTTGAAGGGGTAATAAAATCTTCTTATGGCTAAAGCAAGAGTCTTGTTTCCTGTTGGCCCAAAAACAGATGTTTCATTTCCCAAATAAGTAGGCTCTCCACTGTAAAGAAATATTCTTGTATAGTTGGTTTCTATCTTCTTAAATGGTGCTCCGAGTTCAGCCAACTTCTCATATGTCCTTAATACAAATTTGGAACAGTCATAGGATTCAAACCAGGTCTCTGCTTCTTTTTCTGGGCTGGCTTGAACAGTCCATGTCTCATAATAAATCCCTGTTTCATTGTCCTGTTTCACCCACTTTGCCATTTTGTTAAACATGTTTCCTGGTCTAAAAAAAAAAAAATCATCTATGTAAAAGCATCAAAGCTAATCATGTTAGATTTAAGTAAAATGTTCTAACCTAATTAAGACCACGGATGCACTTGAGTAAAGAATAGTTTCATATGTCCTTAATACAAATTTGGAACAGTCATAGGATTCAAGCCAGGTCTCTGCTTCTTTTTCTGGGCTGGCTTGAACAGGCCATGTCTCATAATAAATCCCTGTTTCATTGTCTGTTTCACCCACTTTGCCATTTTGTTAAACATGTTTCCTGGTTTAAAAAAAAAAAAAATCATCTATGTAAAAGCATCAAAGCTAATCATGTTAGATTTAAGTAAAATGTTCTAACCTAATTAAGACCACGGATGCACTTGAGTAAAGAATAGTTTTTGAATTTCTAAACCAACGTCTCACAACAGGAATCCAAGCTCGGCCAATTTTTCCATTCTTTAAGGCACAAGTATTTCTGAATTATAAACATTTGTTATAATAGGTGTATAAAGAGAAGTCTTATACACTAATTCTGTAATCGTGTAAGCTATAGTCAAAGCATAATTATACAAATGTAGAAGATCTCTTTCCCTGCTCCACTCAACAAATCTTGGATTTGGAGGCAAATGAGAAAAGGAAATCAAGGAAAGAATCATGGAAGAGGAAAAGGTGAATGGGCAAAGACTATGAGCAAAATTGAGGAGGGCAAAATGTGGATCTTTTCTGCTGTGAAGCACGGTATGCATGCAGTGGGAATAACTGTCTGAGGAGCAGCTATTCTAGAAGGCTGGCCTGCTAATGCTCCAAGAACAAGGACCATACCCCACCCACCCTGAGGATTTGGCATGTCCCTTTTCTCCCTGCATCTGCAGCTGCTGGGAGGCTGCTGATGACCTTCCCACCCACCACACAGATTATTCCAATGAATCAACTAAACTGGAAATGTTTTTGGCCAAGTTCACAGACTTCAGGATGGCTAACCCTCTCTCCTACCACCTTGCACCAGAGCAGAAGAATCTCTTCAAATATTTAGAAAACACCATACTCTGCATGGTTATACCCTTCATCTGGGCATTTAAAAAGCCTAAGAGACCTAAGCCCCAACATTCCACCTTTGTTGCTGTGTGCAAACCTTTCTTTGGTTACTCCAACTTGAGTCCATAAAATCAATACTTCCTGCCTTTACCAATTTTATGGAATAAAAACTGTAGAATAATATAAAGCCTATTTTGTTAGAACTGGGATACTGTTCTCAGGGGTGGTTGTGATGTAAATGATATGATGTATGTCTAGCACTCAGAATGGTACCAGGCCCTCAGTAAGTCCATATGAGTATTATTATTTCTTAACATAAAAATATCTTAATATATCATCACTAAGAATTTTTTTCAGATACAGTTAACAGGTCCTTTAATCAGGCATTTTATGGATTTTCTTTCCCTATTTTATTTAGAAAGTCTAATTTAATTGTATAAAGCATTTTATAATTTCATTCATTTTTACCATGGGAATAGAGCCGGAGATAAGCTACTTTTCACCTATAGGTAAAACTCTGCATGAGTAAGAGTTTGGGTCAAAAATGTCCAGAAGTACCTTTTACAAATGATCTCTAAGTAGTAGAACATTACTGAAATGCCTCAACGGAAATAATTTCTTTCACTTGGATATTGATGCTATCATCAAACACTGCCATATTTTTGAAACCTACCTGATATAGTCGCTACTAGAACTAACGTCCCATTGTCCTTCCAGTGAATATCATCAATTCCTTCAAAAAAACAGGCAGCTCCTTGATTACACCAGAAAGGGACATCCATTTCAGGTCGGAGATGGGGAAATGTGCAGTTGCCAAGCTGGAAAAGTTCATACCATTCCATTGTGTAGTTCTTGCCAGTTAACGTACTCCTGAATCCAATGGCGTCATGCATAATCTTCTGTGTAAAGATAATGCATGTATAAAACCATTTGTGAAGTAACCATGCGGCTTGATGGGAGAAAATGTGGTGAGCCACAAATGCACAGCAAAGTACAACAAGTGCTCAGCTGTCCCTCCTCGGTGCTGCTGTTCTTGTGTCCACTCTGTGGCCCCTCAAACTCCAGGCCCTCATCCACTCTGGTTTTGGCCACTGCAGCTCATCTCAGATAGGAAAGGTGTATGCTACGTGGACATGCTCGTAATTTCCTTACACCTGAGATTAAGTACAAGAAGGTTCCGTGCCACAGTCTGAGGAAGGAACTCCATATACCTCACAGGGCGATGAACTAACCTGGAAAAGCAGCTACTAAAGGGGCATGGAAATGAAGTAGTGCCTCCTCCCTTCTTACTGTACAGAAGTTAGGTAGGGAGTTGCATTCAGATTCATAATATTAAAAGGAATTAAAGCGATTACACTTGTTATTGTCAGGATTACAAAATCTGATAACTATCTTTGACTACTCATTTTAAATATGCTAGGAGGAACACCAGTAAACATGAACTAAAACCAGTCATGTGAATAGTGATTACTCCCTTAAATCAACTTAATAACCAATACTTGTTATTGTCAGGATTACAAAATCTGATAACTATCTTTGACTACTCATTTTAAATATGCTAGGAGGAACACCAGTGAACATGAACTAAAACCAGTCATGTGAATAGTGATTACTCCCTTAAATCAACTTAATAACCAAATCATTTGATTAACCAAAGCTACAAGGTCAAAATGCATCCTTACCAAGTGTCCCAGGAGGTCTCCATATTTAAATTCCCATACTGGGGCTTGTAATCGAAAGACTTCAATGACATCATCACCCTTCATAACTGGGATAGGTGAGCCAGTTGGACAGAAAGTGTACTTAGCTTGACAATAAGGATCTGGCTCTGGACGGAAGGAAAAGCGTCTAATAAACAAAAAGAAACGATCAACTTCGATTCTGACAGGAATGGTTCTCACACATTTTAGAATGCAGATTTTAATTTCACTGTCAGTATCATTTCTAGGGAAAACATTCGAAGCTCAGCCCATAATGAATAAATATACATTGTATTTGTTATCCTGTGAACAAACTTCTAATGATATCTTTAACAACAAGTGATAAATTACAAGTACTTTGATAAATGTATGCTTCCCTGTTCTCTCCTCCCATTGTGAGAAATGCTCCAGATCTTATCATAGTAGACACATACAAATGTTTGAATAAATGAATATTTTTCCCATGTGTTTAATTTTCCAAACAGTCCATACATTAATATTATTCAAAGATAATTATGATTAAACATATTTCATATCTACCTAAGAATTAACCAACATTCACTCAATCAATATTTATTGAGGATCTACTATGTGTAGGGCACTCTACTAGGAAGGAAACAAAAATAAAAATGCTGTTTCCTTCTTCATGGAGCTTTGGTGGGAGGTGGGAAGAAATAAACAAGTAAGGAGGTGCAGTGTGGTAACTGCTAAACTAAAGAGAGTCTTGTAGGCACAAAGAAGGGAGAAATCATTTACATCTGGTGTGGGATGAGTGGGGATGGGGAGGTCAAAGAGACGAAGAACTGGTCAGGTTTTTAAAGTACTTGCGAAGTAGGTTAGGACAAGAAAGGAGAGAAAACATTAAGTATTATAAGACAGGCATGGCGCATTTGAAGGGCCTCTAGAAGGTACAGAAGACGACTAAAATTCAGGCGTCAGGGCAGGAGTAGAGAAAGGAGAGGTAGGCAGGGCTATCATTTTGTCTCTAAGAAAGTGTGACAGGCACCCCTTGGAATCCTACAACTAGGAAGGGCTGAGCCCCAAGGGAGCTTAAAGGATTTTAGGTAGGAGATCTGATAGGACGGAATTTGCTATAAAGTAACCTTTATTTTATGAATTAGAAGAGGATGGGGAGAGAGGACAAATTAAAGCTGAGAGATCAGTTAGGAGGTGACTGTAATAATGCAGGCATGAAAAGATGACCCAAGAAGGCCAAAGCAATAGGACTAGAGCAGGGACTACCGTCAAATTCAGTTCAACAGACACTTACTGGTCACCTTCTATACTTGGCACTGGGAGAGAAAGAATAAGAAGCAGCTTCTATTCTCTCAGAATCCTAGGTCCCTAAGGTTCTAGCCATAGCTACTGTTTTACAATCCCAACACATCAACAAAAAATTCTGTGTCAAGTTAAAATCTTGATGTTAACCAAAAACATTAACAACTCTCTCAAAAGTTTATGAAACTTGGGTACACTGCTTTATAGTTACTTACCTGTTCTAAACAAATACATAACTATATATGTATGGGTTCGATTTACCCACACCAAAATCTATTTTAGATCAAAGGTAATTTTAAAATAAGCCTAATTTAAGTGAAAACTTAATAAAGTTAAATATTATTATATTCAACTGAGGGGTTTAGATGGGAGCATATACTTAATACCTGAAAACTTTTAAGGAAACACTAAGAAACCATAGTCAACACCTTGCCCTAATATTAAATCAAATAGTTTGGATTTACAATCTCTTCCTTGTTTTATTGAATATTTAATATTCTACTTCTTATAAACATATTAACGTTTTCAAGAAAACCAGCTTCAACCCCAAACTTCTCTTTCCAGGTATATGAAGCAAAACAAGGAAACGGTGCAAACCATTTAATAGGCAAAATACACTAATACCTAGGTTTGACAGCAGCTAGCATTTTGGCATTTGCTAGATTTAATCCTCTCAACAAACCTATGAGATAAACGCTAATACCATTCCTACTTTCTGACTCAGGATACGTGGGCACAGAGACATAGAGTGACTTTCCCAAGATCACACAACTCGTGACAGCAGAGTCATGTTTGATCCGCAGCAGTGAGAACCCAGACCTCGCTCCTGACCACGAGGTTATCCTGCACGCAAAACTGTGTTTTCGAAAGCTGCTGATCCTTCCCCTGCCCGATGGTGACACCATGTCCTCTTTCTCTAAGTTAGCTATCTCTGACAGTCTTAGGCTGTCTCTTCCAGGTCAAAGGCTCGAATCAGCTGTACGGGTTTGCAGCCTCCGTCTTCGACTTACGACCAGCGTCCTAATTCCAAGTTGAAGAGTGGACGAACGAGGTGACCAACTTCAGTATTTGCCCAGGGCTGAGGGAGAAGGGTATTCCCCGGACACAGGACGTCTAGTGCTAAAATCGGGAGTCTCGGGCAAACCAGGGAGAGTCGGCCACCCTGTAAACTGTGCCAAATGTTAACGATCACCAGTGATAGTGCATGAAATAAGCAAGAAGTGCGATATTTAGTCTTTCCAAACTATTCAACAAGTCAGTTTCTGGTACCTAAAAGTCACTCGAAAAAATAACATCACTCCCCTCTGCTTCCACGATTTGGGACTTCCCTGAGCCTGGCTCAAGTGGCCCGAAAAGAAAGGTCCCAGGGCGGAGCGCACAACGAGCGGCTGCGACTCCCCCGCTCTCCACTTTGTTCCCCGAATGCCGCCTCCGCGCCGCCGCGTGACCGGGACACAAACGTCAGCGCCTCTGCGCAGGGTCCCCGCCCAATTGGGAGTGTGTGTGTGTGTGTGTGTGTGTAAGAGGTCACTGGCTTCTGTGGCTAGAGATGAGTACCACAATCCAACTGGGAGAGAGAGAGAGTGTGTGTGTGTGTGGCTTCTGTGGCTAGAGATGAGCACCACAATCCAACTGGGAGAGAGAGAGAGTGTGTGTGTGTGCGCGCGTGTGTGTGTGTGTGTGTGTGGCTTCTGTGGCTAGAGATGAGCACCACAATCCAACTGGGAGAGAGAGAGAGTGTGTGTGTGTGCGCGCGTGTGTGTGTGTGTGTGTGTGGCTTCTGTGGCTAGAGATGAGCACCACAATCCAACTGGGAGAGAGAGAGAGTGTGTGTGTGTGCGCGCGTGTGTGTGTGTGTGTGTGTGGCTTCTGTGGCTAGAGATGAGCACCACAATCCAACTGGGAGAGAGAGAGAGTGTGTGTGTGTGCGCGCGTGTGTGTGTGTGTGTGTGTGGCTTCTGTGGCTAGAGATGAGCACCACAATCCAACTGGGAGAGAGAGAGAGTGTGTGTGTGTGCGCGCGTGTGTGTGTGTGTGTGTGTGGCTTCTGTGGCTAGAGATGAGCACCACAATCCAACTGGGAGAGAGAGAGAGTGTGTGTGTGTGCGCGCGTGTGTGTGTGTGTGTGTGTGGCTTCTGTGGCTAGAGATGAGCACCACAATCCAATTGGGAGTGTGTGTGTGTGTGTGTGTGTAAGAGGTCACTGGCTTCTGTGGCTAGAGATGAGTACCACAATCCAACTGGGAGAGAGAGAGAGTGTGTGTGTGTGTGGCTTCTGTGGCTAGAGATGAGCACCACAATCCAATTGGGAGTGTGTGTGTGTGTGTGTGTGTGTAAGAGGTCACTGGCTTCTGTGGCTAGAGATGAGTACCACAATCCAACTGGGAGAGAGAGAGAGTGTGTGTGTGTGTGGCTTCTGTGGCTAGAGATGAGCACCACAATCCAACTGGGAGAGAGAGAGAGAGAGTGTGTGTGTGTGTGTGTGTGTAAGGGGTCACTGGCTTCTGTGGCTAGAGATGAGTACCACAATCCAACTGGGAGAGAGAGAGAGTGTGTGTGTGTGCGCGCGTGTGTGTGTGTGTGTGTGTGGCTTCTGTGGCTAGAGATGAGCACCACAATCCAACTGGGAGAGAGAGCCCGCCCGGCCTGGGCCTCCTCTTCAGTGACTGACCCTAACGCCGAGGTCTCTGGCCTCCCGTCTCAGTTTAAAGGTCACCTCTGCTGTGGCGCTTCCTCGGACCTTCCCCTAACAACCACCAAAACCAACCAAAACAAACAAAAAATCCGGCTTTGGGGCTTTTCCTTTGGATTCTCTAGGACTGAACCCATATCCTGTCCCCCGGGGCGCAGACCAGCTGCCAACAAACACTGGAGTGAATGACAATCTNGGGGACGGGACTGGGGACAGGACTGGGGAAATGACTGGGCTTCACCCGGCCTGAGCCAGAGATGACAGCGGTCAGCACCAACAGTACACAGTCCGCGCTAGACGCTAAGCACCACTGAAGCCACCCCCTCCCCACCCCACCCGGACGCGCTTCTCTCTCTGCATCTACCACTTCAGTGGGGAGGAAGATTATTACCTTCTCTCTGACCCCTCAACCACTTAAAGGAAACAACAGGATCAACTGCCCTGCTTTTGATGACACACTCATGGCCTGCCGTGCGGTTATACACAAATACTGACTTATGCCTATAAATAGCACATCGAAAGCCTTGTCACATGCAGTCACTTGTGTTAGGAGACAGCGGCCTCGCAGAACCCTTAGACCAGAGCATTCCAGCTCCTTGGCTTCACCGGAAACATACCTGAACTAACGTAATACTTGTAAGCATATTGGGATAAGCATGGTGGCTTCTGTGGCTAGAGATGAGCACCACAATCCAATTGGGAGTGTGTGT